AGTCCGTGTACATGTGAGGAGTGCGAACACTTTTATATACAAAAAATATGTACATCTAGCATAGCCCTTATTATTATTCATCAAAGGTTTTGTGTTACCTTTTGGAAATCTAGGTCTCTTCTTAGATTTTGTCATTTAAGCTAAAATTATAGAATAATGATATGAATAGTACAAACTACCCATAGTTGTCCTACATGGCATCAACATCAGTTTATTATTCGATGCATAAAATGATAAAAAAATAAATATCATATTAATGTATCAAATGACAAACTGTCATACGTATGTCACGTATAACGACTATCGATAATTTTCATCACTAATAATAGTATTCAAAATTATATCTGTCATTTATTTGTTTGGTGATTATTGAACAAAAATTTGTCAAATCCGGTCCGACTTTCAATACTCTATGATATAAAAACAAATTTGGGGATTAGAACTCTAATTATTCTTAACGGGACATTCAATGTATGATTAATAAGCTACACCATGCATGATTCTCCAAATTTGTGTGAAACAGTGTGATTGCACTTCACTTCTCTTCTTGTCCGAATTCAACTGTTTATAAGGTGCTTATAGTTCCTTTTCTTCTTGTTTGCTTGTAAAAACCGAAATCTGAGTATTTGACCCTGAAAAATGATATCTTTTTCCATGATGCAAGTACATGATAATTCTGGGAGATGGAAGGCATATAGCAGTAAGACCGAGGCCGACAAAAGTATACATATCATAGCAACGACTCACTCACGTTCAGCATATAATATTGTTTCGCGCGAGTTAGTCGCTAACAATTAAAAAGGGATCAGACGATTGTGTAAGGGACAAATCTCTTGAGACAAAATCCCAAAAAGGGATGTTTTTATTGGCGATGACTTTACAATTGGAAAATAAAAACAGAACGCCTCCAAGGAGCGTAAGCACACGAGTTACTGAAAAATAAAGTGTTTAAATCTAAATTAAGAAATTTAAAGTTATATATTCTCTATTTGAGAGTGTTTGATTCGGGTTTCTTTGCTCTATGTCTTTTCTTCCTTTTATACTCCCTGGATGATCTCTTCGTGGTCAACCGCTTAAAAACTGCTTGATCGCTCTATAACTGTCAACTTTCCTCGTAGTGGCCAACTTATCGTGGAACTGCCTTCTCTAACTGCTGCCATTACTTTTGTTGTTCAACCATCTTCAATTGAATTTCTTGAATCGTGGAACGTGATAGGACTATCCAATAACTACTTCATTAACTGCACTTTTGGGTAACCATAACATCTTATGTTTGCTAAGATGCTGTGCGACTCGAATGTTTGGACGAGAGCAGGGTCACAGCTCTGGGCGAGTGCATGGCAATTCATTCGCTCAAGTCTTGGGCGACTTGCAACCTTGGGCGATGGTATTACCACGTTCATGGGCTTCCCCTATTTGGGCCTTTATCCTACATTGCCTGATTGGTTCGTTCTTTGAGCTATTTGATTTTTGGGGATCTTCCAGTTGGACTTCATTCCTTGGGCTATTCGACTTGGGCTGAACTTTTTGTGTGTCAACAATTACCCCCCAATATGGCAGAATTAATACCAATTATTAATTTTTGCCATATTCACTTTGTGTTTCCCTGCAACATTCGAAATTTTCAAGAATTTCAATCATTGTTTTCTTCCATGGCCTGAAAAGGTGCGACGTTTGCAAACCCTTATAACCCCCAAATACGCTATTTCATTGCACCACTAAATCACGCCTCATTTTTTCGCGCCTCTCTCTCCCAATATTACTGTTCATCTCCTTACTTCTCTACTACGTAACTCTGAAAAACTCTATTTCGTCCCTAATGACTGCTTCACAATCCCAGTCTGGTGACTCCTTTAGTTTCGAAGACTTTCAGAAACTCCTTACTCGGCCATATATAACTCCGAACTTCCTTGCACCGGCCAATGTCGAACTCAATGAGTTCTAACTAGGTCCTTTATTCAACAATGCTGAGGCCATCGAACAAGCGACGGTCGATCAGCTGTTCCCTTGTACTCAGGGCCCTCCGTTTCTAAATTCTTTATCGCTGGGGCCACCTCGCGAAAGAGGTATTCGCACTTGACCTAAATCTGATATCGTTTTTCTTAGATGACATGCTCGCCTTGTGGACCATGGTCCTAATAAGGCAATTTTTGATAATGCTAGAATTTCTGATTTGTTAAAAATCCCTCTTCAACCCCCTATTTTTGACCAGTACTTTTTCCAATCGCTTTAAGTTTTTGGTCTTCTGAGTATAATACTTTTATTTTTTCTCTTGGTCCCATGTCCATTACCTTAAGGGATGTTGGGGCCCTAGTAAATCTGCCACCTTTGGGCGATACCATTTTCCCTGATATTTTGATTTCTGGTGTCGCCCCAAAATTTGATAGAGGCCTCACCGAATCTTATTCAAGCCTGCAAACCTTTCATAACCACTCGAGATCTGAGCCTTCCCATACCGAGCGAGTGGCCTTTCTTCTGATTTGGCTTTGTAAATACATTTTGTGTGTGCCAAGCATAAAGCCCTCCATGAGCTATTTACCCATAGCGCACGAATTGGCGCGTGGTATGCCTCTGAATTTGTGTTCTTTCTTTTTAGCTGCCCTCTATAGAGGCATGGCTTCTCTTCAATCCCAATTGAAGAATGGTGCATCTTCCACTGGCAGTGGGCCTCTTTGGTTCACTCAAATGTGGTTGAGAGCCTATTTTCCACCGCTTGGTGCTCTATCTTTTTCTAGTCCTTCTGCTAGCTGCTATGGGCTAGCCATTAAGCCCCTGACTCCTGTAAATATGTCCAGAAGGGACATTTTTTCATTCTTTTATACTTTGGATTCAATCCATTCCTTCTTTCCTTTTCCTCCCTTTTTGACTCCAGATTATGTCCAACCTCCATCTACTCTAGATAGTGCGAACACTTCCTTATTTGTTTGGATTCAGTTTTTGATCGGGAGGGAGTTGTTCCATGATATTTTGACTGGGACCAATGCCAAGGCTGGGGTTGAAATATATGCTCCCCGATTTTTTGCTCGCCAACTTGGTTTTGGCCAAACTTGGCCCGTTCCCCCTTGCTATTCAAGAAATTTGATAGACCGCTTCCACACCATTAATAAGGCAGAGGTAGAGGCTATAAATGCTCGCAATCTTCTTTTGACGAGTAGCTTTTCTTTAGCCCCCTTCAATCCTAGCCGTGCCATCCATCCCCTTTTTGAACGACTCTGGCCGTCAGTAAAGCGCAGATTGTTTGCGACTGATGCCAATCGTGCTTTCCATTCACTAGACCAGCCAAACATTTCTTCCACCTCTCCTGTTTTGGTCACTCCTGTGTCCATTAGGAATCCCTCTTCCTCTGCTCGTGCTAAACAATCTGCCCGTCCATCGACTTCTCTTCCTGCCAAGCTCACTGTAGCTAAAAGTGCCCCAAGCCGCAAACGGCCAGTCTCATCGTCTCCCATTTTAAAGGATGATGATGATGATGATACCCCTCTCATCGTCAGGAGGAAGGTAATTAAATTGGTTTACTCATAAGCATACCTTTCCATACTTGAGATTTTTCCATGTGCTGATAGTTTATTTGGACCTCTCAGAAAAGTTCAACCTCTCCCTTGAATGCTTTGGTATTGGCAGCTCCCGCTCCATCATCCTCTGCTGGGGCTGCTTCGTCCAAACCAGCTGATGAAGGGATTACGGTTAAAGAGAAATCTTCAGTCCCAAAATCTTCATCACAACCAATGGACGAGCTACCTTCTTCCCAGGGCGTTGACCCCCCAAACGTCGAAGCAGAAGGTAATTCGTTTTTTGATGCTTTACCTTTGCTTGTGCTATTGGTGTTGATTTGTTGCTTTTTGAGTTCTGCAGATGTTCCCATGAGTCTGCCTATTGCAGCAAGGTCTTCTCGCTTAGACAAGGGAAAGTCCTCACGAATGGTGGAGCCACAGGTGGCAGATTTGGCTGGGGATGTGCCATCTTCCAAGATTGCTGATGAGGTAATCTTTGCTTCACCTTTACCTCCACTTTGTTTAGTGTAGTGGAAACCTTCAATATTGGCGATTTTCTTGCAAGATGCTGATAAAATTGTGCGTTCCATTCAAAACTTGTTCACTTCCTGGGGGCAAGTCAAGACATCTCGCCCTACTTCAGCCAGTTGTCCTTCTACTTATTCAGAGGAAGATATGGAGTTCCTTAAGCAGTCGATATTTGAGTATGTGTCCTTCATAGATATGGATATCGGTAAGGCTAGTGCTGCCAAGTATAAGGATAAGCTCGAGCATTTGAATGCGAAATTGGAGCAAGTACTGACATTTTCGTCGCTCAATCTTTCTACTGATTTTAAAGCGACGTTGAAAGTTGTCCATTCCGAGGTCCTCTCCTTACTAGCCAAGAATGTTGAACTGAAGGCCAAAAGTACTCAATATCCTCGAGCTGTATCTGAAAAAGAGTCTTTGCTTCTGGAGATCAACAAAGCTGAGGACGAGTTGAAAAAAATCTCTTCTGAAGTCATGATTGAAGACTCTTTGATGACTAGTTTGGCTGCTCAGATGAAGGAGCTTCAAGCTAAGATGGACGACTGCAATGCGAGAATGGCTGCTAAAAAGCGTAATGCCTCCCAAGGAATTGAGCGAACTAAGTCTTTGGTCGAGCAGTACAAGAAGTTGGAAGTTGATGATGATGTTGTGGCTGAATTGAACATCACTTCTTCTCGGCAGAGCGAGGACTAGGGGAGACTTAGGGAAATGATTCGTTTGGTATGGGGTGAATTGTAATTAAAACATATAATGCCTTAGCTTTTTCTTTTTGTAATTTCGTATTGACTTTCCCTTTGTAACCTTGTACTGATATAACAGCAGTCATCATTGTTAATGAATAACTAGTTTAGCCTCTTGTATATTTATTGACGTTCGTTTTTTAATCGTCAATCGCTCAGGCATTTAACTACTTTATGCTAAAAATTTTGCACATTTTTTCTTGATATTTTCGCCCAACTTTGGGCCACTTAATCCCATTTACTAGACACGAATATGGCTGCTCATATTCTGTCTTTTCACATTTACCTCCCTATAAATGCACATCATATTCTGTCTTTTCACCTTCACCTCCCTATAAATGCACGTATACTTCATACTTTCCATCTTCATTTCCATTTTCTTCTTCAAAAAAACCAATTTGCTGCCATTGCTTGGCATTTCTGACAATCAATCCAAAACTTACGTTTTCCATGGAAATGGATCATATGATCTGCCCACTTTGCCATCTTTCTTGATGTCACCTTTGGTATGGGAGATATAGGAAATATTCTTTGACCAGCAACAAAGTTCTTCCCATCGTCTCCGTTCCTACAAGGAGTTCAATGATGGAAGACAATTTTTGGGGTGCTTGCAGGCCACCTTGCTTGCTGAGAGTGTTTCTCAGTCTCCTTGCCCGTCGTTGCAGCGATGCATTTAGGAAGGAGATGTGAGGGCGCTTCATCTTCCTTTCTGCTTGCTGAGAGTGCTTCTCGGCCTCTCTGCTTGCCTTTGCAGCAGTGCGATCAGGATGGCGATCAATGCCAGTACACCCTCTTACTCGGCGATCGACCGGGAGATTAGTTTGCTCTTAATCGTAGTTTATAGAGCATTTAGCATCTTGTATTTCGCAGCTTTGTAATGAACATTTGATAATAAAGAAATTTATTTGAACGTATTTCGCTCTGGCCCTTTTTACTCTACGATCGTTCAATGCGATTTGGTTACGCTTTTATTTGTTCACTTTCCCATAAAGAAGGAACACACTTTTTCAAATATTTGCCATTAATGAACCTCATGTGCTTGGTGCCGTCTAAATCTTCCAAATGATAGACTCCATTAGGCAATACATTATTCACTTTATATGGTCCTTCCCAATTGGGAGACCATTTACCATACTTTGGATTTTTGCTATCCAAAGGGAGTACTATTTTCCAAACCAGTTCGCCCAAACTGAACGACTTGGCTATAACTTTTTTATTATAAAATTTAGCCATTCTTCATTTTTGAACTTGCAATCTATCTAGGACGTCTAACTTTAATTCGTCCAACTCTAATAAGTTTTAAACTAGTGATTCGGTATACTCATCATCACTTAACTTATGTTGCAAACACACTCTGATCGATTGCACATTGATTTTCATAGGCAAAAAGGCCTCCTGTCCATAAGTAAATTGGAAATGAGTAATTTTGGTACTTGACCGATGCGACGTCCTATAAGCCCATAAGGCTTTGTTCAGACATTGGTGCCAATTTCTGGCATTTTCATCTATCATTTTTCTTATAATATTTTTTAGAATCTTATTAGAAGATTCTGCTTGCCCATTGGATTGAGCGTAATATGGTGTGGAGTTTAGTAATTTAACTCCAAACTCGCTCAAGAATTTATTCATTTGATCCCCATTTAAAAATGTCCCGTGATCTACCATCAAAGTTTATGGAAGCCAAATCTATAAATTATGTGATCACGGATAAATTCTATGACATTCTTCTAGGTGATCTCCTTTAAAGGTACCGCATTTACCCACTTAGTGAAATAATTGGTTACAACTATAACAAAAGTATGTTGTTTGGACGATAGGGGATAAATCTTCCCTATCGGGTCTATCGCCCAACCCTTAAAAGGCCAAGGTTTAATAATAGGTGTCATCTCTCGTGCTGGCACCCTTTGTATTGGACCATACTTTTGGCATGCTAAACAACTCTTTGCATACTGAACGCATAATTTTCCCATTTTTGGCAAAAAATATCCACTCCTAATAATTAACCACCTCATCCTTTGACCAGCTTGATGAGCTCCACATATCCTTTCGTGCACTTCAGCCATGATCGTCCTGCCTTCTTGTAAACTTACACATTTTAGCAGTATACCATCAGAGTGTTTCTTGAACAATTCTTCATCTATCAATGCATAGTTTAGCAAACGCAACTTCATTTTTCTACTATCTCTTTTATTATGTTCTTTAAAGAACTCCATAATTTCTGCCCTCCAATCCATTGCATCTCCATCTTGTATGCAATGAAGTTTAGTCTTTCTAACCCTTCTTTGGATCACGGGCAATATTGTTCCATACTCACAAGTAGACTTCCAATTTAAAATATTTGAGTACCTTGAGGCCATCTGGACCGACTCATTTGCCACGTCATTGTATATTCTATTAACGCATTGAAGTTCTACTTGGTCGAATTCTTCTAATAACTCATGGGCGATTTCATATTGACTCATGATGGAATCACTTTGGTATTTAAAATCACTAATCAGTTGGTGAATTACCAATTGAGAATCGCCTCTAATGTTTACATTTTTTACCCCCATATCTATCATTAGTTCTAGGCCCACGATTAAGGCTTCATATTCGGCCTGACTGTTGGTGCACATCCTATCCAAAGTGAATGCGAACTTGTAGCAAATCTCTGAAGGATTTATCAATGCTACTCCTACTCCTGCACCTTTAGAGGTTTTTGACCCATCGAAATACAACACCCAAGGTTTTAGCTCGAACGAATTGATTTCTAATTCAATTTCTTCAAACATGTCAATGCATGAATGATCGGCTAAAAAGTTAGCCAAAACCTAATTTTTGACTGCCTTTTGGGGTATGTATTGTATTTCGAATTCTGATAAAGTTAACGTCCAAAGTCCTACCATTTGGTGTAAAATCGGGTGAGAGAACATATACTTAATCAAATTTACTCTAGAAATCAAATAAACGATTACGGGCCGTAAATAAGCCCTTAATTTTGTACATGTGAAATACAATGCAAGACATAATTTTTCGATAGCAGAGTAATTACATTCACATTTTGTTAACCGTCTACTCAAGTAGTAAATCGCCCTCTTTTCACCAAATTGGTCTTCTTGCGCGACCATTCCAGTTATTGATTCTTTTTCAGCCGATACATACACTTTCATTGGCCGTCCTTGGATTGGTGATACCAACACTGGTGGACTTGATAAATATGTTTTCAGACTTTCAAAAGCTTTTTGATGTTCTTCTTTCCAGACGAATTCGTCCTGATTTTCAGCTTTAAAAGCGGCAAAAAGACTTTAGTTCGCCCTGCACAGTTAGAAATAAAGCGTCTTAAAAAGTTTACTTGGCCTAGAAACCTTTGCAGTTCTTTTTTGTTGCTAGGTGGTTTGGCCTCTAAAATGGCCTTCACTTTATTTTTATTAAATTCAATCCCTCTTTTGTGTACCAAGAAACCAAGAAAGTTCCTGCATTAACACTAAATGCACATTTCAAGGGATTCAATTTTAGCTTAAATTGCTTCATTCGCTCAAATGAACATCTTAACTGTTCGAAATGGTCCTCTTCTTTAATGGATTTGACCACTATATCATCTACATACACTTCAACAAATTTGTCTATCATATCATGAAAAATTAAATTCATTACCCTTTGATAAATTGTTCCTGCATTTTTCAGTCCGAAAGGCATGACTACCCATTCAAAACATCCTAGAGACCCAGGGCATCTAAAGGCAGTTTTGTGTATGTCTTCCTCATCTATATAAATTTGATTGTATCCTGAATACCCATCCATGAAAGAATACATGACGTGTCCGGTAGTTAAGTCTACTAAAAAATCTACCGTGGGCATTGGATACTTATCTTTGGGTGTGGCTATGTTTAAATTCCTAAAGTCTATGCACACCCTTAGTTTACCATTCTTTTTTAGTACTGGCACGATATTGGACAACCATTCGACATACCTGGCTGTTCTAATAAAGCCTGCTTTTAATAATCGCTCTGTCTCTTTCTTAATTTCAGGGAGTACATTAGGAGCAAAACGTCTGGGAGGCTGCCTATGAGGTTTAAAATTAGACTTAGTTGGTAATCTATGTTCCACCAAGTCTCTATCCAAACCAGGCATTTGTTCATATTCCCAAACAAAACAATCTTTATACTCATTTAACAAAGCGATTAATTTATCACTAACATCTTGATCGAGCATTTGGCTAATGAATGTTGGACGATCTTCTCCTTCATTGCCAATATTTACTTTAATCAGAGGGTCTTGTACTTGAACGTATCCAGGCTTGATGATCCGCATTACTTCATCGTCCAGCTCCTTTGTAAGCACTTCTTCTTCTAAACAATCCACCTTGTTGACTTCTCGGCCAATACTTTGTTCCAATTCGAATACTGCTAATTTGTCTTTCAACGCTTTCAGGGCTGCCTCTTCTTCCGTCTTGTCCTTGCATTCTTTATTGAAAGCCATTAATTTGGCTTTGAAGGCCTGAATATCGGTCATTTGCTTTTGTTGCTTAGAACTCATTCAGGACTTCTTGATTATTCTTTTGCCAATTACTGGCTCTTCTAGGGCCACTATATTTGGCCTCATCTGACTGAACATTTCAGTGAGTGCGTCCACGGAAAATGGCTCTTCACTCTGTGCGACAATCTGAGTTTCTTCCCGATCTTGAACTACTCTGATAGGTCCATAGTTTCCTTCGTACATGAACCTTTCCATTGAGTTTACTTCTCCTACAAAAGGCCTATGATCGGCCTGCACCACCTCTACTTCACCCTTGTTATTCCAAAAAACCAGGCATTGATGGAGCGATGAGGG